TGGCCTATGAATACCTAATTCTGTTTAAAAGACACTAGTAAACTGTATCTTATCTTGAACATTTAATTAATTTTCGGAGTTCCTGGATATGTCCCACCAGCGCAATCACTTACTATGACTCAGGAAAGATGTTGAACATATGAAAATGCTATAAATGTATACGATTTCGCTATAAAAGGATCCCCCTCCATCACAGCGACATTTCACTTTGAAATGATTAAGAAATCTTACCTTTTTTTTGATCTTGGTGGGATGAACAGTTCTAAACGAACAAAACTTGCTTATGCATCTCACAAAGATGTCACGTATTCATGCCAAAGTCGAACGCAAGCCTCAAGAAGAGGCACACATGCGTTCTTGAAAATAACGCATGCGGTTCGAAATTCACCCAAGTGAGCTGCAGCGGCTCGCAATTGGCTCGCCAGTGTTATGGAGCACTGACTTTTGTCATGCTTGCACGTGCTAATGAAAGTGTGACAATCTCATGCGGGAAAAAGCAAACGCATGCTTGCAAGTGCGCTCGCAAAATTCTACAAGCCCTGCAAAAAGATGTTGTTCGAAAACAGCGCAACGGCGTCTCAGTATACAGTAATTCCATGCAGTAAAAGGCATTGAGCTCGCAGGACTTCAGCACTTCCGTAAGGAGAGCGTGAATTGAAGATGTAACAGCCAGTATAAAGGTCGCGAAGAATCACCTCCAACGCCTCGTTGTTGTAGTGTCGAAGTATAACTGAAGTATGAAGATATCCATTGGTGTGAACGAATAGTTCCGCACGGAAAATTTACATATTTGTGTAGGACGATGGAGGGGGGAACCCTAATAACTCACAGGGACTTCGGCATCCAGTTGAAAAAGAGCATATGACAGAGCGAATTACCCAGAGGACGTGGTGAACGTGATTTGCAAGGAGCCCGGACCGGCAGCATCCCGACTTTATTATTGTCATATGTTGATTCTTGTGGCTGTCGCCATCCTTCGTCCCCTCATCACACACCGGAAATCCAGAAATTTAGGGCATCCCAATTATAGCACCTATACCTAAGTTTTCGGATTGTGAATGAGATTTACTGAAATTCCGTCCGATACCAAAATTCCAAGACAGCGTGAAATTTATCTCAATCAAAAAAAACCAGGAATGGATCATGAGATTCCGGTACTCGAGCCGAAGCTAATTGTTCCCAGTTACCCTGAATCAATGCCGAAAGCATCTGTTTCGGTACTTATTTTGGCAAGACCAGCACCGAAAATGTGAGTGCTACCGAAATCTCGTCTGGAATACTTTATTTCGGTATCCATGTTAGGCAAAGCCGAAACTAAGGTTTGGGGCGTCCTCAGCCGGAACGGGGTCCCAAAACCTAATTTTAGTATACTCGATGTCGGCACGGGAACTAAAGGTCTAGGCATGCGTTCCGGGACCCCACAAACCTTAGGTTTACCATCTGCGGAAACTTTGCCCTGAACGGAGGCTTTCGTCACTAGTTCAGGGAATTCCTGAATCTTTGCTTTCAGAACTCGATTATGGCAGCCTGGATTCAAATCCGATATCTTACATTCCGGTGATTCAAAGCCTTCTTGAACCTTTAGTATGGCTACCAGTATCAGTAAGTCCTGTTTTCACATGAAATCTTAGGTATAGGCAAGTAAATCAGACTCTCTCAAATTTCCGCATTCCCGGAGTGTATCTTACATTCCGGGGACGATTGAAAGCTTCCTTGAACCTTTAGTATAGCTACCAGTATCAGTACATCCTGTTTTTCATCTGGAATCTTGTGTATAGGTAAGTAAATCAGATGCTCTCAAACTTCTGTATTCCCGGAGTGTCATGAGCCTCGGTGCCTTTACCTCGCTCAGCAGATTGGGGTGATCTCGCCTTTTCCTGCTGATCGTTTGTCGTCTACTTACATGTTAACGTTCAGTGTGGGAAGAAACCATGACCTCTCGATCGCCTGCCACACCGATTTGACACCGGTTGAATGCTGTGGTGTGGAGTAAACCAGGCTGCTGGTCGTATTTTGTCTACTCACAACATTCCAGTAAAGTCTTCCACAGCGGCAACCTTGTCTTTGAGGCGGCTATTGACGCACAACTTAAGCGTGCACTTCCCATCTGGATTTTCTTCTCGTGGTAGAAGAATTCGAAGCAGTACATCTACTCTTCACTCTTCTCTCACTGCTTGAAGCCCCAGACAAGGGCCCACACGCCGACCTCCATACCATCTTCAAGACGTGGTAGCCCTCTGTCGCACTATCACAGCCCCCGTTAAGCGTCGCTTCAAATGCCCAAGGCTTCCACTAAAATATTAGCATTTGCGTTCATACGGCACCTATGCGAGTGTTCTGATCTCGTCAGGGTACCCTACGAGAACTCGCATGGATTTAAAGATAGAGTGAGAATATCGTCATCTCGCGAAGCGCTACGTGTGTCGTATCTCTTACATTTCGTTGCTTCTGCTCACGTCCATGCTTATATATTAGGAATAATCAGAAAAAATCGTGGTGCAAGCTCGTCTTGCTGGGGTCGTGCCACCCTCATATCTTTTTGTCGTAGACGTTACGGGCTGATCAAGGGCTAAATGGCATGCGGTCTATGAATCGGACGACGAATGTTCCACCGTCAAATTTTAAAGTGAATTGTACGCACTATCCAGCTCTCTCTCCCTTTGTCGAACACATCCGTCTCTGTAATTATTGTTGGCTCGTCAGATTGCCATCGATTCTCCAGCCTTCGCACCTCCTCTTTGCGTCACGTACACGGCTGAACGCTACTGTAAATGGCAGGGTCGTCGATCGCAGTGTTTTGGGATTTTTGGTAGAGTCTATACGTCCATTATATCGTTCTGCGACTCATGACCTCTTCAAGGACTTCCGATCGCACTGCAGTCGATATATAATCATCTTCTGCAACTTTCCTACCCTTTCCAGCATCTAACAACCCCATCGTTCTCGAAGACTCTGGTAGTGCGTCATAAGCCTTTCGATCAACATGGAGACTGCTGCAACTTCAACAGGAACACCCGCATTCGCTGGGGGATACATTTCACTGTCCCCGTCGTCGTCTTTGGCTCATCGCCGCAGTCGAACACCAGGGAATCCCTGTTTTTTCAACGACGACTACGATTTTATATCCGGCGTATTCAGAGCACCAGGGGGTCGTATTTCCGTCACAAGCGACAGCAGTGCATATGTCAGGGTCCATTGTTACTGTCTTTGTAGCTGTGCTATAAGTCGAAGCGTACAATGACGCGACTACACTGGGGAGCGTCCTTGTCTTTGTACCAAGCTATTCTCACCCTTAACGCGACGCGACGTGTTTCAGCTTTTCGTTCTCATTTTCGCGCCAGAAAATCCTTAACTCAACAGCACTGTATTTGTGGCATCTTCCCCGGCTTTTCTCTCACACTGCTTTGAGGATACGTTCTTCGCATCCGTCATTTCAACATACAGTGAATGGTACGTCGGTTCTCTGCTTCGAGCTTAGCCAGAGCTGGCGGGAAGAACGTTTACAATTGCTATCAAGCTTGATGCATCTGCTCTTCCCGTAGCACCCTCTTTGAGATTGGAGGAGAGGACTGCATATATGCATACCGCTGATATCTCGTCCTGGAGTGCGAAAGTAGATATTATTTTAGATGGGATTATCTCGTCGACCGGTTTCTGACAGACAAAAGCATAATATTGTAATCGTACGTGTGCTGGTTTCATACAAACTGCCTGCCTGCTAACATTTGATTTATAGCATATAACTATTCGTGGAATTACCACGTTTAAGCCCATACCTCAGACTGGGGTGTTCCCCCCCTCACGACGTGTGCTGGAGCCTGACTTTGCGCGTAACAAGTATAAATCGTTTTTCCTATGTTGTCGTCATCCCCACTACGATGCGTCTTTCGCCTATCGTCCTTAGCTCTAAGATGTAGCGACATCTCTTGCGGTGCTCGCATAGATGTCGCACATAACCCGTGTTCTTTTGATGCAGTCGTCGCCTACCACAGTCACCTCGAACTGTGGGTTCTGCAAAACAATTCCTTCATATTTTCAAATGATATCGTATGGGGAATCGAAGGTGATAAAAATTACAAGCATCAGTTCACGCAGCACTGAAGCCGTTAGGCTACAGCATCACAACTCCAAAACGTACAATGTGCATCATCGGCCCCAGAGCGGCCCGACACCCGTGTTTACGTATATTGACCTGACTGGTTTTTCTTCCTTGTCACTTATCATCACCATCCGCTCCAACCCTCGCACCCTTAACAAGGACAGTAATTACCGCGGGCAGATAACCGCAATGACGGTTGTGGACGGAAGATGCTGTTCGTCGCATTTGGACGCCATCGAAGGATTGTCAAAACTCCATGAAGCCGATTACCAAGGACGTTTGGCGTGATGGTTGGGTATTAGACTGTGGAGGAAAAGGCGCGGAGCGTGACGAGGGGTTGACGCAGCATGCACAGGGTTGTTGGGTGGTGGGCTGCAGGCACGCGAGAACACGACGCTAATTCTCCAGCTGCTTCAAATCCGGGCTCTCCTCCACATCCTCAAAATCGTCGTAGAAATCTGGTCCAGTCGGAACCAACCGTAGGACGTCCTCCTCCGGTCAAGGGTACATTTCGGCTTGCCCGCAGCGCAGGCTCACGATCCCAGAAGACGGCAACTCGAGAATCACGCGTGACGCGAGGCTCTTCTTGCGATATAGTGACAGTGCTCGTAACTAGGTACGTGACGTCTTTCCTGGTCCTTATCTCGCTCACGTTCCTTTCTAGAATATCATCCTCCTTTCCCATCCAAGGGCTGCGTATACTCCACACTGAGGTCGGGCTCGTCGAGGAGGCATGCTTCTGAGACGAGCGATTTTTCCGATCGGGAGAGCGAATAACACTGCTTACGGAGGACCTGGCGCGTGATGGTCTGGAATCCGGAAACAAGAGTTGATAGAATCAAAAGTTGTAGGGAGTCCTGCAGCAGGAGGCGCAGACCGCGGCGAGAGTAGCAGAGACGGAGCTGAAGGACGTAACAACAAGCGAAGGGCGGTCACCCGTGAACGGCACAATGCAGTATCTTCAACTAGACTCGCAGCGATCATGGTGAGCTTTCTTCCTAGATGCAGTTATATGCTATCCTGACAGTCCGCCTGGTAGCTGCCGTCATGTGATTTATCTCACCCACAAGGCGAAGCTCAAGCCTGGGCCTGAAATTTAACACGACCTCATTTTCCAGGCACGCAACGCCTAACCCAGCACCAGCAGCCCGAACGCACGCCTAGATACTGGATGGAATCGTTCCAGTTGCATCTCCGCGCATGAACCAGATCATAACCCTCTCCCCTCGCCAGCCCGTGCTTTCCATCATTTTTCAACCTCCCTGTAGCTCAGCGGCGCACTCTACCATTGTAGGTCCTGCTACTGCCCGTTTCCGCTCTCTGTTCTCCCTAATCGGATACCATCGAGTTCTGGCAACCCATTCCCGAATAAGGCGTTCGAGACGGTCTTCCAGTACTTGCAGCCCAACACGTCGCGTCTTACCCCTCTCTTCTCCCTTTCACGATATGATGCTTCCGCCACTCACAGCAGGGTCACGATCCTAGATGGCGGCAAGTAATCTGTACTGAATAACGAAGCGTTCGAGACTCTTCCGGAGATATACGTAATTGAGTATGTAGTTTCTTATCTGGTCTTTCTCTCGCTCATTTTCCTCTTAGCATATAATCTTCGTTACCCATCCAAGGAGTGCGTACACTCAAAACGGCGGTGGAGCGTATCGTGTTTTCTGGTCGGGAGAATGACCCTCGGCCCGTGCTCCACAATATAAGATCTGGCGTGATCGTCTGGCATTCGGAAACTACGGAGCGAAAGATTGGAAGGATACCTCGAAAAGGAAGCGCGGAGCACGACAAAAGCAACATATCTCGAACCGAAGCGTGCGGAGGGCGATTACCGGCGGAACTACATGGTTTCCTTAGGACCAAAAACGAAGACACAAGGGCGCGCAACAGGATGGGTGCGGCACGCCGACGGCTTCATCAGCCAGACTCACCACGAGCATGGTAAGCCTCCTCCTTGGACCAAGTAGTAGGCTATCTTGACAATCCGTCTAGTGCCCTGCCATCATGTTATTCCGTTCACCTCTGGAACACGACCTCATTGACGCTATGCCGCCCGTAATGCCGAACACGACACCAGCGTCCCAAGCGCGCGCCCAGACATACCGGGAAGCTTCTCTACGCCAAGCCTATCCCAGCCCGAGGTTGCCATCAGATACCACAGACATCGATCCAGTCCCGTCTTCGCGCATGAACCAGATGATGGCCCTCTCCCGTCGTGAGCTCGCTTTTTCCATCAAGTTTCGGCCTCCCCGGCGGCGCGTCCTGCTATTGCCCATTTCTTCCTCTGCTCTCTCTGCTATTATGCCTCTGCAACTCGTTACACAGAGAACAACACATTCGAAACACTCTTCTCTCACACTGCTTTGAGGAGACGTTCCTCGAATCCATCATTTTAACATGCAGTCAACGGCACGTCGGATCTCTGCTTCGAGTTTAGCCAGAGCTGGTGGGAAGAACGTTCACAATCGCTTTGAAGCTGGATGCATCTGCTCTTCGCGTAGCACTGTCTTTGAGATTGGAGAGGACTGCATATATGCGTACCGCTGATACATTGTCCTGGAGTGCGAAAGTAGATTTTTTGATAGATGGAATTCTCTCGTCCGGCGGTTTCTGACTAATATTGTAATCGTACGTGTGCTGGTTTCATACAAAATACCTGCTAACATTTGATTTATTGCATCTAAGTATTCGTTGAATTACCACGTTTAAGCCCATACCTCAAACTGGGGTGTTCCCCCCTCACGACGCTGATTCCTGTGTGCTGGAGCCTGACTTTGGCCGTAACAAGTATAAATCGTTTTCCCTATGTCGTCGGTATCCCCACTATGACGCGTCTTTCGCCTATCGTCCTTAGCTCTAAGATGTAGCGACATCTGTTGTAGCCCTCACATAGATGTCCCAGGTAAACCATGTTCTTTTGAAGCAGGACTCTAGGACATCCTACAGTTCTTACACGCGACTGTGACTTGTTATATTCGGAGATTTCTTTATGACGTGCAGTAGCTACTGCACCTCTGAGTCTCCCTGCAATGCGTATTCGTCCTCTCTACCCATCGACGACCAGATTCATCATCTGGTAGGCATAATGCTAATAAATTGGTGGTAACGCGTGGAATCTGGGTGCAAGTCTTTTCATCTTCGGGTCGTAACTCGGTAATGAATTGTTGTTATACCCGAATGTTCCCATGAATTAAGCTTTGGGGAACTAATCGTAGCCCAGAATGATGCTGCGTGGTGAGGCCAGACTCCGGCTCATCAAGAGAAGCGCGTGTTCCGTTCTTCTGATACCGTAGTTGGCTAGGAAAGACTTTGAGATGTGGAAGCAGACTCGGACAAAATCCATCTGGACGAAACATACGTTCTCGTAATACGGCACCTCGAATTGAGGACTCTGCAAAATAATTCCTTCAATAATTTCAGATGATATCGTATTGGGAGTCGAACGTGATAAAAACGCTCTAAGTATCAGCCCACGGGGCACTGGAGCCGTTAGACTACAGCATCACAACTCCGAAACGTACAATGTGCATGATCGGCCCCAAAGCGGCCCGATACCCGTATTTACATCTATTGATCTGGCTGGTTTTTCTTGTCACTTGTCATCACCAACCCTCGCAGCCATAACAAGGACCGTAACTACCGCTGGGCAGATAATCCACGACGACGCTTGTGGATGGAAAGGTACTGTTGGTCGCATCTCGATGCCATCGAAAGAAAGGATTGCGGAAACTCCATGAAATCGATTGCCGAGGACGTTTAGCGTGATGGTTGGGCGTATGACTGTCGAAGAAAAGATGCGGAGCGTGACGAGGGGTTATAAATGGTGGTGCGGCGTGCACAGTGTGGTTAGCCGCGGACCTTCTCTGTCAAGAACCAGAGAGGAGGGCACGCCGAGAACACGACGCTAATTCTCCAGCTGCTCAAATCCGGGCTCTCCTCCACATCCTCAAAATCGTCGTAGAAATCTGGTCCAGTTGGAACACCGCAGGACGTCCTCTCCGGTCGAGGATGCATTTCGACCACTCCTCCTCTTCTTGGTTCTTCAGCTTCCTGCCCTGCAGCGCAGGCTCACGATCCCAGAAGGCGGCAATTCGAGAATGACGCGAGAATCTTTCTACTCGTAACTAGGTACGTCACGTCTCCCCTGGTCCTTATCTCGCTCACGTTCCTCCTAGAATAGCATCCTCCTTCCCCATGCAAGGGCTGCGTATACTCAACACCGAGGTCGGGCTCGTCGGGGATGCATGCCTCTGAGACGAATCATTTTCCAGTCAGGAGAGCGACACTCGGTGCTCCATAGCACTGCCTACTGAGGACCTAGCGCGTACTGGTCTGAAACCGGAAACAAGGGCTGATGGAATCAAAAGTTGGAGGCCCAGACGGCGACTATAGCAGCAGATATGGAGCTAAAGGACCGATTGACAAGCGAAGGGCGGTCACCTGTGAACGGCACGATGCAGCATCTTCAACTAGACTCGCAACGAGCATGGTGAGCCTCCTCCTTGGATGCAGTTATACGCTATCTTGACCATCCGCCTAGTAGCTGCTCTCATGTGATTTCTCTCACCCCCAGGCCTGAAACACGACCATATTCTCCAGACATGCGACGCCGAAAACGGCACTAGTAACCCAAGCACGCGCCTAGATACCGGATGGAACCATTCCAGTCGCGTCTCCATGCACGAACCATATCATAACCCTCCCCCCTCACAAGCCCGTTCTTTCCGTCATTCTTCAACCTTCGGCTCGTTCTGCCATTGTACATCCCACTGTCACCCGTTTCCACCCTCTGCTATCTCTAATCGTATACTATCGAGTTCTGGCAAACCATATAAGGCGTTCGAGACGGTCGTCCAGTACTTGCAGCAGAATACGTCGCGTCTTATCCTGCCCTTCTCGCTGTCACACTATGATGCTCCTGCCGCTCACAGCGCAGGCTCATGATCCCAGATGGCAGCAAGTGTGCTGTACCGAACAACGATGTGTTCGAGACTCTTCTAGGGATATAGTGACAGTGGCCATAATCGGGTATGTAGTGTCTTACCTGCTCTTTCTCTCGCTCATTTTACTCTTAGCATACAATCCTCGTTTCCCATCCAAGGAGTGCGTACACTCAAAACGACAGTCGAGCGTGCTATGATCGTCAAAGAGGTATTAAGAGCAGAGGTTTTCCGGTAGGGAGAACGACCCTCGGTACCCTACATCATAAGATCTGGCGTGATCGCCTGGTGTTCAGAAACGAGTGTCTATGAAGCCAAAAATTGGAGGGAGACCAGGAACATGAAGTGCAGAGCATGACTAGGGCAATATATCTTGAACCGAAGCGTGCGGACAGCTGTTACCGACGGAACAACAAGGCTTACCTAGGAACCAGAGACGAGGACAGAAGGGCGCGCAACAGGAAGCTAGCAATTTGACGACGTCTTACTTAGCCAGACTCACAATGACCATGGTAAGCCTCGTTGAAATCAAGTAATACGCTATCCTGACAGTCCATCTAGTGCCTGCCATCATATTATTCTTTTTCACCGCTGCAACACGACCTCATTCTTCAAGCGCGTAATGCGGAACCCAGCCTGAAAACGCCATCATACACCCCAGACTCCGATCCGGTCACAGGAACGCGATGATGATCCTCTGCCATCTCGAGCCCGCACTTTTCCAACCTCCTTGTACCCCGGTGGCCTGTTCTGCAACTGTACATCCTGCTCTCGCCCATTTCCGCCCTCTGCTCTCCGAAATGGACACTATAAAGTTCCTGTACTCCTTACACAGAGAACACTTCTCCGCGGTTATGGTGACAGTCCTAATTATAACTCTCCAGCCGCTTAAATCCGAGCGCGCCTCCACATCCTCGAAATCATCATGGATGATACCCCAGAAGGTCCTTCCCAGTCAACGGCGCATTCCCGCCACTCCTCGACGTCCTAGAAACTGCGAACTCTGTGGTCCCTCCGAGTCGTTTCCAGCCTCTGCTTCCCCAGATTTTAATTGCCGTCACTTCTAGCGTGGGCTCACGATCTCAGAACGCGGCAATCGCCATTGGAGAACGACGCGGGACTCATCCTGCGATATAGCGACAGTACTCATACGACAGGCCTTTCCTGGTCCTTATCTCGCTCACGTTCCTACCAGAATACCATCTATCCTCCTTCCCTATTCCCGGGCAGCATATATTACACACTGTGTTCGGGTTCGTCGAGGAGGCGTGCTTCTGAGACGAGTACTTTTCCGGTCAGGAGAGCGAATAACACTGCTTACGGAGGACCTGCCGCGTGATGGTCTGGAATCCGGAAACAAGAGGTGATGGAATCAAAGGTTGGAGGGAGTCTTGGAGCAGACCGCCACGGTCTGAGCAGAGATGAAGCTAAAGGACGTAGCAACAAGTGAAGGACGGTCGCTAGTGCAACCGCGAGACTAGGGACATGACAGCACCTGACAGGGGGCTAACGGCACGATGGTAGCTTCAACTAGACTCGCAACAGGCATGGTGAGCATCATCCTTGGACGGAGTTAGACGCTATCCTGATGATATCGCTTGACTTGCGTCCAGGTTAAGGCTTAGCAATGTGATGGGAAAAGAGAACGACACGTTCGAGACTCTTCCGGGATATAGTAACAGTACCCGTGATTGGGTGGGTATGTAGTGCCTGGCCTGGCCTTTCTCTCACTCATTTTCTTCTTAGCATATAATCTTCGTTACTCGTCCAAGGAATGCGTACACTCAAAACGGAGGTCGAGCGCATCTTGATTGTCGAAGAGGTGTTGAGAGCAGAGATTTTCCGGTCGGGAGAACGACGCTCGATACTCCACAACATATGTCGTACCGTGATCTTGTGGTTTTCGGAAACGGGAGTCGACGAAGCCAAAGATTGGATGGTTACCACAACAATGAATCGCAAAGCTCGACGAGGGCAATATATCTCAAGCTTTAAGCGTGTGGGGGTGGGTACCAGTGCAACCACAAGGTTTACACAGGGGCACGCAACGTGAAGCGAATGGCACGATGGCTTTTCAGCCAGATTCAAAACGACCATGGTGGGCTTCCTCCTTGGGTCAAGTAATACTCTATTTTGACCGACCGTCTAGTGCCTGCCGTCCTGTTATTCCTTTCATCGCTACACCAAAACCTCATTCTCCAGGAACGTAAACCAGAATTGCCGAGCGCGCCCCCAAATACCGGATTCACTCACTTCACCGCTCTAAGCCCAACCAGCCCCAGATCACCGAACTATATGATAGCTCTCTCCTGTCGCGAGCCCGTTCTTTCCATCAAATTTCGACCTCCCCGGCATCACCTCCTGCTATCGCCCGTGTCTCCCTCTGCAACAATGCGTTCGAGATCAATCTTCTCCGTGGTCATGGTGACGGTACTTGCAGCATTGTATGTGTCGCATCTTACTGGGCTCTTCTCTCTCTTACACATCTCCTAGCGTACTGTTCTTGTCTACATGATATCATCACGCCTCTTGGTCTGTATCCCCTCGTCTCGAAATCCTCACCCAGTTGATAACCCACAATACGCTCCAGCACGCACATGCTCCTTCGAACGTTACTGGAAACCAGGAGCAAACACACTTCTCTAGTTAGCGTCTTTGCGATTGAAGGGAAGCACTGCGTATATGCATACCAGCGTAGCGTCTCGCTGCAGGGTACAACGTCGGAAAGTATCCATACGGTCTGCTAGTATTTTAATCGTACGTCTGTCATTTTCCTCCAAACGACTCGACGGTATTAACGTTTGATTATAGCATATATCCATGTAACTAACCCTGTTGAATACGAACTCGTGCTCGAGAGATATATCTACTCTTAGTGTCAAGTTTTCGGCATCATTCAAGGGTACCGACGAGCTGATGAAACCGGCCGCACGCAATTATGAAAACACCTTTGCAACCACCATGGCGAAAGATTAAAATTTCGTCCTTGAAGCTTGATAATTTGGGGAGACCACCCCGGCTTTCGCTACCTCATGTCGGTCCGCGTTCGCAGGAGACTGAATTAGTCGTGGTTACCCACACCATGACGCCTATCGCTGGGCTGATGGATGACATCAAATCATTCGTGTTCTTTTGCAAGGTCGTTCATAGGGCACAAGGAAACCCCCCCCCCAATGTCTATGCGTGACTGACCTCCTTTCTATTCATGAGTTCACCAGATATTAGGTTACATCACGCGGTTTACATACTGCCGTGAGACAGATATAGTCTAGACGTGCGCCCAACAACGACCATCGTCCCGGATTAACATCATGTTCGCGGATATTTTTGAACGCTCCCCTGTTAAGAGAGTAAAGGAGTTTCTGATGTTGACCTAGATGCAGGTTTAGCTTGCATTTGAGTATATGGTGAGAGCGCTCGTCCATAGCCATACGGTTGATGAAGGGTCAAAAAGCAATGTTCCGGTGGATTCCGAAATTCGCAAATACGCGTAATTTTGCACTACGCACTAATGATGGTCCCTTGCCCATGCCGTCTTGCTCTCTGGGGGTGTAGTAAGCTTAACGAGAGTTCGAACATGCCAGGCGGTTCCTTACATGCATAATGGAGTGCTATGAGCATTGAGACTTCAGAATCGACATGGGTGTTGTTTTGAAAATTCGGTAAATGCTTCCTTGGCTTTCTTCGTGTTACGACTTATTCCTTATAAAGGTGAATCCAAGCACACTTAATATCTAACTTGGGCACTATGCTACCCGACGACTGTAAATGCCGTCGCTGCAGACTGAACTACTCGAGCAGGCTTGTATGCCCGCCAATCCTACTAACGATATTTTTAAGGGCAATGGAAATGTTCTTAGAGGCATTGTGGCGACATCGTGTCTTCCCACGTACATTTATCATTGCACATCGATGCTTATGTTACATTGTGGGTGTATCACAACAACGATAATAATACCACTGCGCTACAAAGTTAGTACGTCCCCTACCACTTCCTTCCTAGTACCTTTGTTTACTTCCAGAACAGCAGCCGCACCTTTCGTTTTCCAGTGCAATGTCCTCAAATGACGGGAACAATGCTGTTGCCATTCGAATGTACGTCCTGGGGGCAAGGATTCAATAATATTTTTCAGGGACTGTGACCAGCCTTTCGTTTGCTTTGCATTCCTTCCCATCTCTGATGTCTTCCTCACATATTCCTTCTCTCCTATATATTCTATTGAGCAATACGCCTCCTTGTCATCGCATGACGCTCAGTACCTTCATCTCTGGCCCTGTGATACTTACCTAGGGTCGACGAGTTCGTTTCGGCATGGTCTGCAATGCTGTGCACCGTTGGATTCGTTGAATAGCATTCACATTTCAACAACGGATATTCGTCGTCATCAGGATACTGTTCTTCCATGGAGAAGGGAACGAGCATGGTATAGATACCTCATCGACAGCACCATAACGTAGGCGATAGTTTTGGTAAGGTTTATGGCTGCATTGCTGATTTAACATCTCTAACGGTATAATATAGCAATCTATAACTGTACAAATTCTTGGTGTTTATATATTCGTTGTTCGATCCCACCCCCTGACACAAGTAACCCTGCCTACGTCGTCTGGTACCAAAGGCGTGCACGCATGAAATCACCAGCAACAACTGGTGTCTGCATGCGCTGCCGTGGTAGACCCTTTACAAGATTGGCATATGTCAATTCCTTCGTACATAAACCCGATCTGAGAGCTCCAACGAGTGAATGGGTAAAAATCCCATTAAATCCTCCTCTGAACTCGTATTCCCTCGCGGATTCGAATTCCCTACACGCTGCCAAAACGACATGAGAAGACATATCCGGGAACCATGTCTTTTCCATTACGGAAGTACGGTTGGAAATGGACTTCAAGTTCTGCATTCCGACACGGAGCATAATATCGCGTGCATCGGTTAGGGGAAAAGCACTGCGCATCCTAGGTATCGGTTCTCTAGTGATGCTGGCAGAGTGGCAGCAGTCGAGGATGACGGTGATATGATTCCCTTTAACTCGGGAAATTTCATGAAGCACTGTATTGAGTTCTCGATCACTGATGTCGGGAACTATGCGTCCGTTGGAAACATCGATGTTGCGGTCGATGGGACAGAGTGCCTCGATTGGGCAGAAAGCATCGATACCTTGGTAACCTTTGGTGTTCGTGACAAAGTTTGGCACCGATTCACGTGTATCCGGGATAATCGACTTCCCTTCCCTGATGGCTCTTATGCATTGCGAACAAGGGTAGCTCGAACCGTGACCGGAATAATAAATGACGATATTGTCTCCCTTCTTGATATGGGAGTTATTGATAAGACTGCGAAGGGTTTCCATGATATTGTTGCGGGAAGGAATGGAAGGATCGTTAGGGGTGGTATGCCTTCGACCAAGGAGAAGCTGTATGCGGTTGCTGGGTACCTTGAGATCATTTTCCAAATATGTCTTCATCAATAACCCATCTTCAACACAGCCACGCAGTGGAAACGTCTTGTACCCATCGATGCCAATTATAACAGCCCAAAACCGCGAGGCATCGACGTCGTGTGGAGTCTGTTCCACCGGTGATCAATATGAAGGTGAATAAGAATAGATTGCGCTCACGCGTGATGAAGCAATGCTAGGAAAAGACTCTGGTTCAACGGCTCCAGGCCTCATTCCTGATTCATACCGCTGAGTACGTAGCTGATAGAGCATATGAAGCTTTTCATATAGCATCTGGTCAGATGCATCGCCAGTCGATGCTATCTCCTTTGCCTTTTGATGTATAGCTACAGAGTCGATGTCCCGAGGGTCGGTATCAACATCTGTGAAACCATGCTTCACGGCAACCTCCTTCTCCAGTTTTTCTAGAGATGCAGCTACGTCTCCATTTGCGTCGTTTTCAGGATCGTCCATTGGCAATGCATCTGGAAGATCAATATCATCCTGAGGTTGACGGTGAGAACAAGCGCTGAGAGATCTACAAATTTAGTATACCGGGGCTTCAGCATCCGAGTCATCGGCAAAACACCGATGCAAAGAGTGGGGTTGCAAGTGATCTGTATCCTAGGAAATTTTCGTGTCCGTTAGCAAAAGCAAAAAAGTGAGAGTTAAAGTAGGCTCGTACAAGGCCATTCCCAGTCGAATCACTTGAGCTACCATCATTTTCTAATACCAATGCGACATGATGTACTTCCAAGTCAGCAGACGCTTCCTTCTGCGATGCCTCTAAAGAGAAATTCGACTTGCTGTCGATTATAGAGTCATGCTCGTCGTGCACTATGTGCATACGGCTGAATCTCATGGTTGTGTTGCAGGATGGATTTCAGGAGGCGAAGAGTTGGTGGGAGGTGTCTAAGGTGTTACCCAACTTTTCTACTTCTTTCTTCGGTTATATTTAATGCGGAACAGCTCTATGTAATTATAATCAATTATTTGGGTATACCAGTGCTTCGGCCTTGTCAGAAGTCATCAGAGATACATTGCTAGGCGCCCGACCAAAAATGCTAACCTGCGATAGCATCGGAGACTGTTGAAATTCGAGCACGGGAGGGAACGAAAATGAGCAACTCGTTTATACTTAGTATGTCGACATGGTGGTAAACGGTAAAGAAAAGAAAACTGCGGGTACGGTACGTAACGGGTTCGGAGCCGGTTGATTCCGACGGCTCGTACAGCCACAGTAACTCCAACAGACATGTTAGGTTGGTTTTCATTAGCACTTCTCCCAATACTCGTGATGAAAACCGTTTCCGTTCTGTACCAGAAGCGATATTAGTATCCAGCCAAACATCGGGAATAATGCTATGGAGCCAGAAATCTCGGACATTCCAGCATGATCCTGGCGTCAAATTCAACGCGTCTATCATTATTCCAAACAGTGTAAGTTTTTATGACGGAAGGCACTAGGCATGATGGGGAGCTAGGTGGTGTCAGTGATATACATTCATTGTTCGCTGGATCCCCACTTCCGGAGAAGGTATGATATCATATTAAACCTTACAAGAAAATTTAGACCTTCTTGTGGAGTATGGCGGCAGCTGAGCGTCAATCATCTCATTCTGCGTTCGCAGGGTTCCTGGAACCAAAATCTTCAGACCTCAAGTCTGTGCGTCTACCCAGTACGACGGTATATCTTCCAGCGACAAGTCTGGTTCCTTTTTGGGACCTTGGCCGGTTATCTATCTATCTATTTAGGACTAGTGTCACAGGAAACACTCATAACATGGTCTTTTTTGCTTGATCACACAACTATGATGTAACCATGGCACTGCATACCACCGTTGTAAGCGGCCGGTGCAATGGAACTACGTGGGAATCTCTCACCACCCCCATATTAAGCGCCGGTCCTCCTCAATTACTCACACCCCAACAACCTCATGCAGCGTGGTCTCTACTTCACGGGATTGGTGAGCGCTCCTTTCCTATGTACCCTAGTCTCTTTCGTATTGACGAAAACCACAAAGATCTTTGCACCGCCGAGAGAACATTCAGATGGTCCTGTGAATTTCTTATCACAGGTGGATTCTGTGAGTGATTTGTCTTGTTGACTGTACAATGCTGGAACATTGGTTCAGAAGGCACCGTCAAAATTTATCAGCTCTCTAGAGCAGTCCGAGAAGCAGCTGGCACTAGAATATGGAGCGATGACGGGAGCGGAACATGAGGTTGATTCGGCGGGAGCGTTACAGGAGGCGATAGCCAGGGCAGCACACAAGAACTATGACCCTTTGTTTCCTGCGTATCAACGTCACCAACACTATTTCAGGTCAAGATTTCGAGACAAATCCGATACATTGCCGTTTCTTGAGAAACAAAGTAGCGCCTCGATTGTCGAAGTAATTGACAATTCCGATCTTTAGTACGATTTCTAATCTTCTATTTCAGTCACCTCTCAATGTTGGGCGTTCACCATTCTGGGCCGTAATAATCGGAATCGATGCATATGATTCGTATCCATTGCGAGGCTGCGTATCAGATGCTTTATTGGTTGCAGAATACTTGCAAGAGGACGTAGGAGTTCCCCAAGAACGAATACAGCTCCTTCTTGGTTCTGAACACGCCTCATCTGAGGATCCGTCCTACCCGTCCCGTGTCAACATCATCAAGGCGCTTCTGGGTCTCATCAGCAACCCATCAATTCTACCCGGCGATAACATCATCATTTACTTTTCCGGTCATGGCGCGGGTTATTCCTCAAGCGATTATTTCCACAGCGACACCGATTCAGACGAGGCTGACGAGAGTCCTCGTGCAATAGATCGATCCATCGAGGCCATCTGCCCCATCGACCGAGATACCATCGACGCCAGCGGGTTACACGTCCCCGACGTCAGCGACCGGGAAATCAACGGCATCTTTCAGAAGATTTCTCGTAGCAAGGGACACCGAATTACCGTTATCCTCGACTGTTGCCATTCAGGTAGACATACTCGACATTTCCCAGATCCCGGCACACGTACCATTCCCCCACTTCCACGTGCATCCCTCCGACGTATGCTGGACAAGGTGAACGAAAGTCTTGGTCACGAAGCTTATCAGGAAATCTCATCGAGGGAATGGCGGCCGGATATGTCCTCGTATGTCGTTCTCACTGCGTGCAAGGACTATCAGGTTGCGAAAGAGGTGCAGAATGAGGCCGGGTACTATAATGGGATTTTCACCCAGGGTCTTATTGGTACCCTGAGATCGGGAAAATTGAGTCAAGAATCAACGTATGTAGATCTCCTTTTTTCCTTACCACAGAGACGTGGTCAAACTCCGGTTGTCGCTGGGAAACATAAGCGTGAGAGCCTTTGGTACAAGGTTTAGCCATCTGGAACTTAAAGTATCTATCATACTCTTCTCGTTCCTATGTTTCTTCCTTTACCTGACGATCCCAAGATTTGTATGGATTCTTTTTATGATAATATCAATGTGGGACGATACAGCGTTACCGGTTCGAGGGAACAGATTCACACGATTCAGACTCGGACCCTACCCTTCTGAATGTGAACAACGACCATATTCTTTGGATGATCTCCACGGAGCCAGCCACACCATCGACAATCTATCTGTGTCCGACACCCACATATCCGCCCATATGGGCACAGTTATAGAGGATAGCATGGGTACCTTTCATTGGCGATCTGATCATCTTGTAGGCACTCACGGAACTTTGAATGCGGCGAACTGTAAAATGCTGTGTGAAAGCTTCCAGGATGCAGTGCGTATCGCTTCCTTTTCATTTATGCTCCATGATTTGACAAACTCTATTCAGCGGCATATGCTGATCGTAGCGCGAAGTGATGCGGTGCGATAACCAGGTGAGAGGCCCCGGCTCATCAAGAGAAGCGCGTTAGGGTTGCGCACGGAACCCTACGTTTTGATACACCGGGGTTTATTCCCGGTAAGTTACCCTCCTCCTGGAGGTTTCGTGAGCAACCCTAAAGTGCGTGTTCTGTTTTGTTTATACGCAGTTCCACAGAGGGATATTGGAGAACGCGTCTTCATGGGCATTAATTGAGACTTCGATGTGTCAAAGCGAACTCGGACAAATTCTATGTAGACGAGATGTGCCACCATTCTTGACCTCATAACGTTAAATTGAGTGCTCTGAAAAACAATTGCTTTCAACGTTCTCAGACGCTATATACGCTGTGGGAATCGAACGTGACAAAATCTTTTTGGCAATAGGATAGCGCAGCACCAAGGCGTTGAACCAAAGTGGTACGGTTTTGGCAGGTACGATGGGAATGATCGGCACACCACCCATGTTTACATCTATTGATCTCATTGGTTTTCTTCCTCCTTGTCATCATCATCCGCTCCAAACCTCACACCCATAACAAGGACTGTGACTATCCCTGAGGATAAGAACTGACAGTAGGAAAATCTATAGTTCTCACGCGCATTTCAACCCCATCGACTCATGAAGGGACTGCTGAAGCTCAGTGATACCGATTAGCGAGGACGTTTGGCCGATGCGGCGTGATGCATGGTCGGGTGTCACTGCTAGTCCATTGAGAGCGATGCACGCAACATGATGTGAGAATATAAAGGGTGGTGCAGCGTGCAGAGGATGATTAGCCGTGGAACTGCTCAGCTTAGTCAGGCACTAGAAACGGAGAACACGACACTAATTCTCCAGATCCTCCTTGGATGCAGTGATACGCTGTCCTGACCGTTCGCCTAGTAACTCCCGTCATGTGATTTCTCTCGCCCCCAGGCCTGAAACACGACCCTATTCTCCAGGCATGCGACTCCGAACACGGCACTAGTAGCCCAAGCACGCGCCCAGATACCGGATGGAATCATTCCAGTCGCGTCTCCGCGCATGAATGAGATCATAACCCTCTCCACTCACGCGCGCGCTCTCTCCATCATTATTCAACCTCCTGCACGTTCTGCCATTGTACATCCTGCTACCGCCCGTTTCCGCTCTCTGCTCTCCCGAATCGGATATTATCAAGTTCTGGCTACCCATTCCGCCATTATACTGCTCAGGGAATAAGGTGTTCGAGTCCCTCTTCTAGTACTTGCAGCTGAGTACTTCGCGTCTTACTCGGCCCTTCTCCATTTCACAATACGATACTCTGGCTCTCGGTCCCAGATGGCGGCAAGTATGCTGCACCAAATAGCGACGTGTTCGAGATTCTTCGGGGGATATAGTGACAGTAGCCGTAATCGGGTATGTAGTGTATTACCTGACCTTTCTTTCGCTCATTTTCCTCTTAGCATATCATCCTCGTTACCCATACAAGGAGTGCGTACACTCAAAACGGCGGTCAAGCGTATCGTGGTCGTCTAAGAGCTGTTGAGAGGAGAGATTTTCCGGTCGGGAGAACGACACTCGGTTCTCTACATCATGGGACCTGATGCGATTGTCTGGCGTTCCGAAACGAGATTCGAATTCGATGGAGCCAAAGACTGGAGGGAGACCACGAAAAGGAAGCGCAGAGCACGATGAGGGCAACATATCTCGAATCGAAGCGTGCGGAGGGCGATTACCAGCGGAACTACAGGGTTTCCTTAGAACCAAAGACGAGGACACAAGGGCACGCAACAGGAAACGAACAACACGACGGCGGCTTCTTTAACCATACTCACAGCGAGCATGGTGACCCTCCTCCTGGGACAACGTAATAATACTATAGCTTGATAGTCCGTCTAGTGCCTGCCATCATATTATTCCTTTCACCGCTGCAACACGACCTCATTAACATTCTCCGGCCCGTAGTGCCGAACACGACCCCAGCTGTCGAGAGACAATTACCACTTAACCAACGTTAGTTAAGTGGTAATTCCTCTCAACACCAGCATCCCCAGATACCGGATGCATATCGCTTCACTAGCTTCTCCACGCTAAGCCCAACTCCCTACCATTTCTCAGCCTCCTGATACGACCGTGGCGCCTCCCGCCACTGTACATCCTACCAGCGCCCGTTCCCGATTCCTCCCCTCTCCTGATATGACACTTAGAGTTAGGGCAAGACTCGAGGCTATACCGTCCATTCTGTGCACAGAATCCCTGTAACTACAGAGGAGCGCCCTGTACACAATTCCCTGTAACTACAGGGTTCCACTCCTGTGCACTTTTCAGGGATCAGGTCCTGTGCAAATTTTGCACAGCGGTTTGTACCTGTCACGCCTGGCTCCCCTGCCAAATATCCCCCCGTACGCTCCGCCCCCTTGCTCGTCGTTGCCCGACTTTGCGCCTCTTTCCGTCTATCTACTATTTTTGTCTTCAATCAGGATCAGGTCGATCGGATCTTTGAGACTAGTCGTCATCCACTTCTGATCTCAAAGCCCGATTTATGTACCTCATTCCATGCGTCACCACTAGATCTCTTGTCTCTAGACTCGTCCCTCCGATCACAGTATGTCGTTTTTTTAGTTTTCCATGACAATATTGTTACAGGGCACCGCCTTTCCACTTGCAATAGCAGCAGAGTCATTGTCAGCTCGAGAGTTGAAACGTTGACTCCTCACAGCCGCCGCCCGCGTTACGCTGAAGCGTTGGAAAACAGTCAAAACACTCTGAGAACACATATTCGTGATTTCGCTCCTCAATTTGTTCTCGCTGGCCAGAAATCTTGCAGAAATCTTCTGCAGCCTGCCCTGTGCACAGGTCGATATCCTGCCCTGTGTACAGGTCCGCCTTCTTCCAGGTTTTCTTGGTGCTCTGTGCACAGCTCAGCGAGCCACTGAAAAGTACACAACTCGGTTTCCTGGACTGTGCACAGGCTGTATCACGGTATTCCTTTTTTATGGAGTAGGCGGGTGGAAGTCCTCAGTCCCTCACCTGTTTTGACTTCAACATCCTTCAGCTGGGCATGTCTCTCAGCCACGACGCAGCCCAGTCCTTAGAGGACGAGTTTTTCGAGCTGGATATGTCCCAGAGTTTCAACCATGACGCAGACCAGTACTTGGAGGACAACGAGTTCTTCGACATGTTTTTCGAAGACCCCCCACCATCAGAGTCTGCCTTCGTCAATGACTTTGTCTCCGTCGGCTCAGGGAGTCTCTATCATCCCTATACAGACATATTTACTCTAGAAGTGTGAGTTCCATCATTCTCCTACCTCGAATGGCTCATAATTCTTTTCATCCAGTGCAATCATTGGTGTATTACGCATTCCCGGGCTTTACAGTTACGCCATTCGACTAGACTACACCCAGGAGCAGCGACTATGGTTGGCGGGACAAGGCCTTCAGTTTGAAGGTGCGGTGCTCAACCACCGCGTCCACCTCTTCTTCGAACGCCTGTATGAACAATGGTTTTGTACATGGGCTCCCGACGACACCGTGCACACCGAGAATAATCCAGATCGTAAGAGGGCAGATAAGGAACAACGGAAAATCGTATGTCTCATTTTGTTACTCATCATCGCTAAGCTAACGTTCTCTCAGGAAATTTTCACCTTGTACATAATGTGTCTCCATCGTCGCTGGATCGAGGTTGGTCTACCGCCTGAAGGGTGGACGACTGGTATGGTGTACGCGAAGCTGGATGAACTGGAGGATATGATAACAGAGAAATATATGGAGGTTCGCCATTATTTTGTGCCGCCGCTTGGGTCGGATTCAGACTCAAATGACGAAAGCCCGTATTGATTACACAGTTATGTATTTTGACTATGTAATTCTCATACACCGTACCACTGTAAATAAACGTAACAACAAGGATTGTCACGTAACGATACAAAGACGTGAATCTAAATCGATTGTTGGATCTAATCCTCCAGATGCGGGGGGCAACGTAGCCAGTAGTTCGCTCCACTGAACAGCCGCACTTGTGCGAAGATCTGACCACAGTGCCGCCTGCCTCAATGCATACGCTTTCGCACCTGGCAGACTCGTTCGCATCTCCCGGCCCTTCCACAGATCACGGTAGTATTCGAAGGTCGCTTGTATCCGGCGCATCTCCTCTGCTAACAGCTCACATTCTTCTTGATACCGCTGCGCACGAGCACGAGACTTGCACCATTCAATTCGAAGGGCTACGTAAAAGTGCATCAGTATGTGATGTATTTTTGGCAGCCCAATTTTAAGGAATTACCTTCTTGCAGCCCTTTTTCTCCGCCTTGTAGATTCGTCTTCCAAATCCATGACAAGGTGCGGTGTCCTTCAGATTCGGCCTCGTTGTATGAGCTTAATCCGCGTACATCTTCTGTCTTCAAAGGTGACAGTCCTGACTTCCATTCATGCTGATTTAATCTTGTTGAGACTACCTCCAAAGCGGCGTAGATGCGTCGGTATCTGGCTGCGTCTGCTTCGATTTTTGTGTCAACTCTGTGCATAAGCGTGTTCGCTTTCGTCCCGTATCGCTGGCCTTGAGAAAAACGTTGACGCCATATGACTAGGTACGATTTCAGCAGGAGATGGTCACGCAATGTCCCCAAGGTGTCATGTGCTTGAGCAAGTCTTAACCGACGCTCGTCCTCCAAAATTGTTTTGTGGGTGGTGACGTTTATGGCGTTCAGTCGGACTGCATGGGAAGGAAGATAAAGAGGGATTTTGGATGGGTGAACTTCGACACCAGGTGCACGGGAGTCATCGTCCCGTGTTCGGAGCAGAGTCGTTCTTGGCATATAGACCTTCTGTACCTCGATCCAAGCTTCGATCTTGCGAGCAATGCGATTAGCATGTTGCTGTACTCTTGTGCGTTGCAGGTCTGTTGAATGTATCCCAAGCCCGTTCATATCGGCGAGTAATCGCACCCTAAAGCGTTTATCAGTCAGTATGTAAGCTGTTTCATGTTGAAAATAACCTACTGGGCTTCTTCCAGTTGCAAACCTTGAGCGATAAATTCACTAGGGCTGATGTCATGTCGAATTTCAAAGTGCGTCTCTGTTTTCTCCTCTCTGGCAAGCTCTAGGTGAACTGCGTTTTCGGTGACAGCTGTTTCCGACCATCAGCAAACGTAGCCAAGCTCCGTGGTATTTTAATGGACTTACGGCGTAAGCTCGGGGCGAAAGGATTGGGCTTTTTGCGGTCCTGTTCCCATGCAAGAACCATAATGCGCCATTCACGGATTGCCTCTGAGTGCTTTTCTTGCAAAGCATCTTCATAGCTGATAAATTCAGCCACTTGCTGCGAGCGTGCGCTGAAGGCTTCCGTATATTTTGTGCAGATCATCTGAGCTGTTTCTCACGATCAGAACAAAGGTAAAGCATGAAATCGGAACGCCTACCCATGATGATAATCTTGCGCCAATTATAATCACCAAAATGATCATCGAGTGTATCTCGGCAAGATCCGGGTCCCATCTCCTTCGTACTGTTGGCCAAGGCATTAGTGGCGGCCCAGCCTCTCTCCGGTGCTTCTCCGTCTGTCCGTCCTACCTTGGCAGAGAAGTTAAAGGAGAAGTTATTGCGACACAGCAGGACATGCGCTGGTAAATGGAACTTTGGAACAAGGTAGAGAATATTTTTCTCCAGCTGGTGGGGTTGCAAACTCGAAGGATATTTGCTAATCCGGACGAAGAGATTCTTATGCCACTGACACGCAATGTCGTATGAGATCACGAGGTCAGGGGGAGTATCGCATGAGAGAGTTTGAAGAATGAAGTAATCCATATTGATGTATCTAAGTGAAGATGTTCGGGATCAAGTCCTGTCCAATCGAATATACACTCGACAAATCATACCTTTCCCCCTTCTGCAAGTCTCTGACCGATAGAGGTCGCTTCATATCATGACGTCCGCAAACGACAGCTCCTACGCCTGTTGCCGCCGCACCTTGACCTCCGCGGCTATTAGCCAGCTTGACCGCATCATGGTTGTTACAAGTACTCTTTTCCTCCGCGGCAATGATCTTCCCGTACTTTTCCAAATGCGACCTAAAGGCTTCCTCCTCCACAAAGTAGGCGTATCCCTTGTTCAAGCTGGGATCACTTTCTTCGCTTGATACATTAAGTCGTCGAAGGCGAAAGTTCGCATCCACTGCAAGGAACAGGCAATATAACCAACGCTTCTCACTATACATCACGGTTAAATATGGGGCGGTGTCATACGTAAGTGAATCGGCTTACAGGTTTGCCGCAAACCCATTAGGAAGGTTCACCTGAGGATGGGGACATGCCGGGCAGCGTAACACCAATTCTCCCGGGCTCATCCCTCCAATTCCTCCTGTTTCGTGACCACGGCCAAAGCGTTTCAGAGTGCGTAGGTGGCACCACTCACGCATAATCTGTAAAAATGTATCATACCGATCCTGTCTATGTCGTTATTATAAGGCTGGAACAGTATTATGAGAAAAACTCACTGGTGGTGGATGTAACCCGGTATTATCTGAAAGGCGAGCAAGAGTGTGGTAAAACTCATAGGCTGAGACTTTGGACATGAAAGATAAGACTTGAAAAAGATGCAGAACACGAAAGGTGGCTGCGGTTTGTGGGTATATAGTTGTCGCTGGCCAGAGGCGGCTTTGGAGTAGCTGGACGTGTCGTGGTATCGATTGAGTACAGTTACAGAAAGCCATCTGCACCGTATGTACCCCATCGACATCGATTACAACAAATGACTTGATAACAGCAGGGAGAACACATTTGGTACCCAAACGATGACCAAGTTGCATGACTAAACCAAGCTCTGCGAGAGATGTCTTCTTGAAATAGATGCCAGTCCATTCCTGCCACAGACATGTCAGTCGTTCCGAGTTGATGAGACGAATACATTTGATCTCACCTCCACTTTATGAAGAGGGGTAGAGTTGTGTTCCCTGACTATGCAGCCCTGACACAGCAACCGGCCATTGAAACAGGAAACGCAACGATAACTACCCTGTTCTGCATCGCATCGGTGGCAATTTCCACTCGTCCCAGAGATTGGGGCCTCTAAGCGCAATACTTCTTCCAAGAATTGCTCACGTTGCGATGTCCATACAAGCAGGGGGTGATCCTGTTTCCGTGTTAAGGACACAACAATCAATTATAAAGATTGTACTCACTCCCAATGGCCTATCCCACCATGTGCCTTGTGCGTCACTGTCGGTTACCTCTGCAGGGGCGACTAAATCTGGGTCAAGAAACGACATGGCAGACATGCCAGAAAGTAATGTCGACGAATCGAAGGCAGGGGGCGGGGAAGGCGGTTCATTCTCGAGCGAGGAAGGTACCGAGGCTGAGGCAATAGGTATGGCAGTTGTTCTAACACTCATCGTGGAGCGGCGCGCAGAACCTGACTTGTCTGAGGAGTAATTGGTGTGAAAGTGGAACGTCTGCGCGGGTCATCTGGAGTTGACCTGGACTTGCTCGTCGTCATCGCTAGCATCGTCTACAATATCGACTGGGGCCTGGCCACCCTTTTTTCTGTGATTGTAGTTCATGGCGCGGATAAGACGAGATTGGTACAGAGGTATTCACCTTATGATACCATACCACTATCCCTTCCACTTATACCACAGCGCAGTTTTGCCAGCGCATTGTCAGATTTCACGCTCGTATGGCATACATCCAATGGCCAACTAGAACGTAGCTTTTGGTGTGTTGTTCACCGAGGTAGGCCCTTATTTTAACCGACTATTCAATGAAAGAAGTAGCAAGGGAGAGTTCTTCGACACAAGGGAGTACTGGTATTTGTCGAATCGGATACGTAACTACAGCTCGTGGTCCGGGAACTTCCGCGGCTTGGGAACCCTTCCACTCCTCTGGATTGAATCACCATCACCTCCCTCTGCATTCGGCCCATGCTCCTTCATTTGTCTCTTCATCTTCTGTTCATTCAATGCAACACGCTCCCTGCCCACCGTGTAAAAAGGTTCCCAAAACTTGAGTGTCCTGACAATTAATGCGAGGTCCTAGTATCAATAGTCAACCACTGACCTCAGATACGGCACACTCATAAAGCTTACCTCTTGGCGACATGCGTACCAGTGGTTGACAGCGTCTATGTCTAGAAGATCCGGGGGTAGGAGTTCACTCTGAAAGCGATCACGCCAAAGGAGCCAGAGCTGCGACTGGAATTGGGCGTAGTCCCTTGGTTTCGTGCGTGCATTTTTTTTGACTTGACGATAAGCGCCGAGATATGGTCGCAGAAACTCTTTTTGCTGCGGGGAAACCTTCCACTGAGACCTATAATTTGCGCCAAAATTAATCCGAGATTCCGCAGAGATAACAGTGGGTACTCACGCCTTGACCATATTTCTCCAGTGGTTCTTAGGTTGACTTGTGGGTCTTAGGTTGACTGATGGGTCGTATACTAGGCCATGGCCGCTTTTTGAAGGTTCTCAAGAGGGGTGCATCTGGCTTGTGTACAGGCGACTGTCTTGTGCCATACTCACAGGTACCGTTGCTGACCTGTGTACAGGTCTCATGCTTGATTTGTGTACAGGCCCTGTCCCTGGTTTGTGTACAGGCAAGAACACTAAGCGGTATACACAGGAGAACCGATCAACCAGATCAGGGTGATAGCCACACTCGATGGAGATCAAGCCTTTTGCTGACTGTCCAGCATGATTACAGCGCATACCGACATACCGACCACTGCTGAGGAGCGCCGCGCTGCACACAACGAAAGCAGTCGACGCAGTTATGCTAGGTAATATTCTACGGAATACCTTTGACTACTGTAGCTTACGCGAATATCTCAGAAACCACGACTTGATCAACCAACACCGACGAGATGTTTACCGACTGCAGAAGAGGCATGCATCGAACATGACAAGGCAAGATCATTGATATTGTTAAAATATACATGTTAACTGTGCTGTATAGACCGTTGGAACCTCTCATCCGTAAGGCTGCGCATCTGGTCGATGTCGAAGTCAACAGTCGACTCTCTCACATTGAGTATGTCACCGTGTGCCTACACAATCACTTCCGTGACTCACGTGTCAATAGGCGTTCTTCTGAACTGGCCGAAGCCATGGACCGCATCGACCGGCTCTCTACTCGGTTTACCGTACTGACGTGTGGATCCCCAGAACGGCATGCAGACGATGTGTACAAGCAGTACATACAGACAATAACAGATAGTCAGCCCAAAGGATACCGCAGCATCCTCGACAACGCTGTCTTGGAGGTTTCTATCTTAGAGCAATCTCTTCAAGAATTCGAGCATGTCATTCTCAACAGTATGGGGATGGGCAAGGAAATGAGACGATATCACCTGGCATATGATCCTATCGAAACGATGGTCCGATGGTTAGAGGAGATGCTTTGTGAGGCCATGATTAGTCCGACAGGTTTGAAAGAGAAGTACGATCGAGCAGAACTCGCTTTCCAAATTCAGGGTGCTTCCTGATATTTTACGCTGTAATTTACTATCTGCAGTAAAAACTAATTGGAATCTCTCTGCCACGCAAGCCGCTTCCTTCCGTATGCAAGCCTCAAGTGCTGAGGACCGTCAATCCCGGCACGTCAAATGTCTTCCAGCCACATAACCAGACGTCCAATCAGCTTCCCGGTCTGGATCAATTGTTCAAGGCGTTCGCATGGCCCGATGGCTTGCAATGCTTTGTCGGTTATGTCCGTGTATGCCTTCTGCATCCGATATAAGGCATCCAGAGGATCCACGAAAAGACTGAGCTGGCCTTGTCGACGGGAGTTGTTTTTGAAATAGAGGCGTAGGAGGACTTCGACATATTCATGTGGGTCCTTACCACGGAGAAAATCTTCAAACTCCTGCACTAGGCTCGTAGCATCAGCCCTGATTTTGAGGAATGGATCAGGACAAAGAGCGGGTTGCGGCACTGCGACAGGTCTAAAATAAACCGTTTTACCCGACACTCTCAGTAGAGTATATACGGCGACTCACACTGAGACGATCTCGTAATGATTAGAATTGGCTATTCTTTTGCGCTGTGCAATCATTTTTACTACCGAAGCTGCAGGCTTGTGTCCGAGTGTTGAAGTAGAAGGAGTCCTATGCGTAGAGGCTACCACTGTCCTGGCAGTCGACTGGTTCACGGTGCTTCTAGTAATAGAATAATTGTGAGCGAGATGTATAAGTACAGATGGATAACCAATTGAACTTACGCTTGAGCTTGAGCTTGTGCCTGATACACAGCCTTGCGCCGAAGGGATATCTCTGGCTTATGTCTGATGCGAAACAAATTATGTTTAGAAAAGTCCGAAAGGTAGAAGTGCCAAGCACTTACTTTGCATAGTAGCGCTTACTCTTATCACAGATGGCCTGTCGTTTGTCTTCAGGTGAGTGATAATTTTTGTGCGGGGCCATGAGGGTATGGGAGCAAGCATACAAGACTCACACTATGGGCAATTAAATCAGTCCCATACCATTTTGGTACTTTCATCTGATCGTCTCACCCTATCGTTTCTCTCGCTCTCTCGGTGCTCTGTTGGTCTCTAGATCTCACAAAATCTATTTGAATGGACATTGTGATATCTCTTTAACAAGTACCTGCAATAAAATTCCTGACAAGCTAATTGGTTCGTACCACCAACCAGATTCTCTGCCGAACGACTGCCATTGATCTCTCATTGTTACTCGTCAGCTTGCACTCTGGGTATAATAAACGATCGCATGAATTCAACATCATTATATGGTACGCATCCCTCTTTCTCCCCCGTTCCCTCCAAAATGTTTCTGTGATATGTCTGTTCTAAATTCCGGCATGCTTGACATGGTTATTACAAATGATGTGCGTATACCATCTTTGATTTTGGGAGGGTACTTCAGGGCTAAATCGCCTCTCTGTATAGTACTAGAGCGGGACTGGAAACAGTAACACTTGGTTGGTGTCTACTGACGTTCATTTGGACGCACTCCATGGGAATTATGACAGGTATTTAAATAAAGTTCCGTACTGAAGGCCTTCACCTGCGTGATTCCAAGGCCGGTACCCCACTTCTTTCCTCCACCAAACATGGTCAGTACGCTCCTTGTTTCCTCAACAGTGTGTCTCTGAGATCCACGTATTAATTCACAGTCAATTCCTAGTCTTCTTGGAGAAAGTGGGCACCTAGAGGAATGACAAAGGCAGCTCCAAGTAGGCTTCAGTGCTCTCGCCCTTGAACATGATCTCACCTGTGCCATGGACAGCTTGCTCGTACAATTGACCATGAACGCCACACCTTTTTACTAGCCAACGTCCAGGAATACTCACAAGCCGCATTCGAGGGCTATGGGAACGCGTGGTGGAGCGGATTCCTACACTGATACATCGCTTGTTTCCCAGAGACAGTACTCAATGAACGCTCTTGTGGAATTTACTTGCATCAATGGAGCGTGGAATCACTCTCCAAGGTATGTCAAGTTCTGGTGCACTGGTCTTAGGCTTATTGCGTCCGCAGGAATTGGAGCACTGGATGGACGAGAATGGCTCTGACTTGAGCAGACACACTTATGCATATGATCATTCATCGTCACGTCGTATCCTCACCAGCATCCATGAGGTTGATCTAACTATGTCGCACAAAGCTGATGACCAAAATATCTCAGCTACTGAATCGGACACTGATTCCAAAGCTTCGGGCTCTGAGAGCACTGCATCTGGCATTGTGAGGGTTAGGAATGACCTTGAGGCCCGTCGAGCAGAGAACTTGGTACACGCTGAGGCTAAGCTCAAGAAACAGGAGGATGAGGCATGCCAGGTGGCGGTTGAACTGTGGGTTGAGAATATGTGCCGACTGAGGAGAAACAAAGTGTCTCCATAGGTTATGTACATTAGTTCGAAGTTAAGCATTTTCTTGTCATGTCATGGAATCTTCTGCACACTCTCAGAGAATATACTGCAAGCACATTTGGATTCATGGCAACAGTTTCAATAATCCCATCTTCGGCGTGAAGACAAGCCAAATTCAAAGCTGATTATCCTTCAGAGAACGATGTCAGTGGTGTTTGAATTAATATGCCAATGCTTGGTTCTGCACTCCAGTTGCATGCAGTCAGATAACCAAATGAAAGATCGCCACTATGTATTAAATTCAAATTCCAACCTTCTGTGGATAGTTTTCCGTGCTCCAGTGAAACGAGGGATTGGCACGGCCAAAAAAAACTCACATCTTCATCGGATAGTCCATCCCAAATTATCTTGAACACAAGGCACCTGCTGTTTTATTTATCACAAAAACCAAAAATTTACTTGCAAACGAAAATTGAGAAGGTTGATTGCGATGTGTAGAGGATATGAACAATATGAGTAATGAAGAGCTGGATGGTCAGTAAAGAGAGCAGTAAAAGTGTTCCAAATAGAGGAGGATTTCCGAGGCGACCATTGACTCGGATACTACTAGTGATAAGAGCGGGAAAAAAAATTACGAGGCACCCACTGTCAAGTAAGAATCTCCCGAGAATCGTGAAAATCTGCAGCTTGCACAACATCTTGAGTGGAGTGGTGGAGGTAGTGCGCACGCGTGGTCACACCTGTAAGTTGTAACAAAAAGGCTGATAGTGCATAAGACATTGAGGAATGCTGCACCAACAAAGATATCTTACCAGCCTTGAAAGATTCCAACACTGTGTGAGACTGGAATGGAAGTAAACTGAGCAGGAGTGTTGAAGCGCCAAGCGCGCCGGAGTTAATTGAGCTATTTCAAAACCGAGGGATGATTGCGATGATCAGGAGAGCCAAGGAGCAACGTAGCAACGTACCAGACCTCATAATTCTATAGCTTTGCCTACATGGCCCTGTGCACACAGTTCAGTGAACAGGCCTGTTCACAGGTTGGAGTATTTCGCTCAAAAGCACACTGTTCAGCAAATCCTGCTGTGCACAAGTCCCCCTCCTCCCGCGTACCCACGTATTCTGTCAGAAAGTCGAGTTTTGCATGCTCATCAGTGTAAGTCAGATGCCGTAAACTCACTGGCCTGGGCTGACCTAGAACGTTTGACAGATGGGAAAAAAGAAAAACGCCAAAAAGAATGCCAAGACGCCATCCACCGCTGAGCCTACAGTTTCCATGGTCAATACCTCTGTCACAGTTGATGCTTCTGCCACCACCCACTCCGCCATGAAGGTCGCCAGTCACAAAAATCGCTGGACCAACACTGAACAACTTGACTTGCTCAACTCTCTGGTCGGTGATTACGTGCAATCCTCTGCCAATGGTATGCTCCCGGAGCTCAAGGCTCGATGCTATGGCCAGTGGCATGGTCGTTGGCCGGAGACCAATGGTCGGTACTTCCTCGATCGTACAGGCATGGTGCGAATGCTCCCTGCACATCTGGTTGGGGTGAAAGACTCTCCAGCCAATAGTCCCTTTCCAAAGATGGTAGGTGGCATGCTGGACCTCGGTCCTCAGGGTAGCCTTGAGGGTAGTGAAGTAGTCAATTGCGACGCCGAAGGGAACGAAGAGTTGGTTGAGGTACAAGCTGCGTTAGGTGTTCCCGTTGAGAATCGTCACACGGTGAGTTATTCCTCGTCTACTTAGTTTCTTGATTACTGATGGATCCTTCTCAGCGCCTTGAAAACTGGTTTGGCAACAACAAACCTGGCCATCATAAGAGGGGTGGCAACTTACTCAAATTCTCGCTCGCACCCCCACGCATTCCGCAAGCCATCCACAAGTACTCCAAGATGTACTATGGTGATTGTGTACTCCCTCGTGTTGTCGAGGAGGCTGAAGAACGTGGTTTGCCCCACAATGATTTGCAGCTCGTGAAGGAAATGACAGCGCACGCGTGGGCCAATGAGGCTGCGGATATAAAGGCGTCAGTTTTCGAGGCAATTGAGAGGGACAAGGAGCTTATTGAGAGTTTGAAGGATGGTAGTTTGGGAGTGGAGTTAACGGATGACGAGCAGACTGTGTTGGTTACTTCTTTATATGTCTAATTGCATTATCGCCGACCACGTTTATTGTAGCATTATCAAGAGTCTTCAGCATGAGCTTGCGGGTGTCTTTGAACATATTAATAAGTTTATCCCTTGGAGCTTCGTTGTTCTGGCAGGAGGTTATGATCCACGCTTGAGTAAAGTGCGAACTACAGCGTAGGTGTAATTTAGTGTCATGTTCTTTCTCACCGAGACTTACTATCATCTAGATATAATTACTGCTGTGACACTGCAGATGGAAGGGACTTTATCACCACATTTGATGTTGGCGCCGCCACTGGCTTCAATCCTGGTACCATTCCTGGTGACAATCGAAACTTTTCGCGCTACTTCAGTGTGCCTTTCATGCATCACATCAAAAAAATGCACCGTATGTTTTCACATTTCCCTGCTTATTTATTGTGACTCATGGCATGATGTAGGAGAAGCTGTTCATGCCGGCAAAGCTCCTTCTGCCTCCAAGTCGGGGGTTGGGATTGTAGTTGATACTGACCCCGTGACCATGACCATCGATATGAGTAGCTCGTCAGGGGTCCCTCTGCCATCGGCCTCATCAACGTTATGCAAGGAAGTTCCCCTTCCTTCAGAGGTCCCTCTGCTGCAGGCACCCCTTCCTTCAGCATCGACATCGACATTCTCTGAGTTGGCGGTTCCAGAGCCAGTGCCTCTTCCGTCCGAGGTCCCTCTGCCATCGATATCCACACCCTCGGCAGTTCCAGAGCCTATGCCTCTTCATCCTGAACTCCTGTCGTTAGCATTGACATCTTCAGCGGTTCCTCCAGAGCAAGTGCCCTTCCGACCTTCTCCCATGCCGCCGGCATCCGTGGCTATTCCTCTGCAGCCGATTCAGCTCTCCGACGCTACTCAGATGTTCTACCAAGAGATGTTCCCTTTACTACCCCCCGCCAGTTCGAGCCTTAACATTACAGCTAGAAATACCCCACCAACAGAGCCCCTTTTCTTACCAGGCACTCCTGATGCTGAGAACATATTTGCAAGTTGGAATGATGATTTCTTGTCCAACGATCTGGTAATAGGGCAGTCGGCGGCTGATCCTTCAACGTTGGGAATGCCAGGGTTGTATAGATTCTCAGGTGATCTTCCTTCAGAGTCAGGGCAGTCATTCAACTCCATCTTTACCTCGAACTACAATTTGTCTGATTGGACATCGGGCACTTCATGGCCTCGGGTGCCAGATAGTACTCTATCAGCTACGGGTACCCACTTTCCGAACTCGATGGCTTTTTCCAGTTTGAGTAACCATGTCTTACCTGAGCAGACTTCCGGAGACATTATCAATACACCATCGACATCAACGGTCAGCCCAATCTCTTCAAATATGTCCATGGCTTCAAGTGGCATCATCCCGAATACACCTGCTGTTGGTGTCCCTTCAATTCCGAATCAGGCGGTTGTTCCTATCCCTGATGTCATCACAAAAGTCAACCCTTCGGCCGATGGAGCATCAAAGAGCAATGCTATTGCTAATCATAACGCAGGGCTGAACATGGAAAGTGTACCTGTAGCTCAGACAACTTCTGCAACTTCCACATCAACTTCCACACCTGTGCCTCCGCTTCCAGAGGTTTCGAACATCTCTCGCCCATCTCGACAACGTAAACCCCCTCCTCCGAAGGAGGTTACCACTTTGTCTGGGTCTGGGAAGGAGCAAGGTCCTCCTATGTGGATTGTGGACAACAGGCTGTCACTGCAGGATCACTCTTTCGGTGAAGCATGGCAGAATCTGATCGAAAAGTGGCACCACCTTGAGCTCGACATCTGGAGTTCTGATTCTGGCGCAGTGGGAAAACTGTTATCGAAGCGGCGCCCATGCATGCTAACGGTATGGCTTGATGGTCCACAATCCTTCGAGCAATGTCCTTCAGTCACTGAACCGTCTCTATTCGCCAAGGAGATGGTTGACTGGTGGAATCAACTCAATCCTGCATGGCGACGCTCAACAAATGGATTACCAAAGGCTGACTACAGTAAATCATTGATGACGCTGCGCAAAGGAGGGCAACATGGGCTGGTTACCGTCATCTTTGGCTTATATTGGTGGAGACGCATCAGTTCAGTGTCTGATATCTGGTCATGCATGGTGGATGACATTGAAAAAGTAATTGACTCTATTTTTTGTCCAGAATCATCGTCGACATCAAAGCGGGGTCAAAAGCGTCTCAACAATGACGGAGTTCCAGACAGCAATGGTAAGCGCATCAAAGTCTGATTCCATACGCATTATGGCCGCGCTTCTGCCACTTTTCGTATCTTTACTCCACTTGTTATTATATCGTTCTGTTCTGTTCTGTATGCCATTGAGCATTATGTGGCATTCTCATGTCCATTTGTTGTACTGTATCTACACCTATTTTATGTCCTATTATTAGAATAGGAATACCTCAGATGTCTATTACACCGATCTTCTTCTGTGAGTTGCATTAGTGTAACGCACTAACTTGGATTGAACAACGGTTGCCTCTTAACTGTCACTCGCGTTCGGTGATTCAGTTGTGAAGAGGGCATTGCAATTGCTAGGTAAGGTACGATAGTCCTTAAGCACGAAACAGGGAGTTTCTGCGTGAAAAGTTAGGAGTGTATAACTTTAGCCGAAGCTGGGGTGTAAGACCACAGCAAGGCTCGTTTAAATACATTGTGGTATTTACTAGTATGTACCGCTCCTGTGTCTCGGTGCGTGCAGTCCCAATGCAACGCTGTCTTCTAAGTCCTTTGTATCGTATGGTGCTTGATATAGGAGAAGCCCTCCTGCGAGTAAGAAGACTAGCATCCATAGGGTGCGGTCTTCTGAGGAGCATACGTGGCGGCTTGTCCATCCTAGGGTGTGATCACAGACGACCTAAAGAAGCATGACTGGGTGAAGAAGGATCCGGCCCATAGAGTGTGATCGGTCTATGGGCCATCAAATGGATCATGCGTGTGAGCGGTGGATCCAGGGACCTATCAGGGAAGACTGATGGTTGTGTTGTGGCAATGCTCTGATGATGCGGTATGAGCGTGATGATGCTAGAAGCGCTCTCGTGAGTAAGAAGGTCAGCATCTGTATGGTGCTGCCTTCTATGAGGTCTGGTAGCAGGGCCCATGACGGAGTCCTAGTGATGTGGTCCCTGGCGCGAGGTGGTGCTGTGTAGGCGATGTGACCGAGCGGGTCATGAATGATGCAGATCAGGTACGAGGAATGATGATGAGAGTCGAATGACGAGTTGCCGACTTGCTGTGATAAGATAAGATAAGCAAAAAATAGGGGTGAATTCATGACAGTTAGTAGTAGCAGCCAGAGCCTGAGTTGAATGTCGAACGCTGGCATGATTCTAGATAGGCCAAAATCAGCAGATGTGAACCTTTCATTACCTAGCATTGCATATGCTGCATAAAAGTTCCCAAGATTCAATACTATAAAGCCGAAAAAAATTGCAATACAAAGGATCGAACCAACAGCAAAGCAAGAGCACCAATTTGATGATTCCATAACTTATCTACTTCACAGTAGTGACTTTAACATCTGCATATAGAAAGTCATAGTTAAGTGTTAATTCATACATCTCATTAAATCACCACCATGATTTGTCACTATCGATCACCTAGAAGTGTAAACAGCCAAATTGTGATTCATTCCATGGCCCCAATTTTTAGCTGTTGCCTTTGCAAATTTTTTTGTAGATACTGATGTACACTGCCTTAAAGTCTGTCATTTTAGAATGGTAAGATGTTCATTGGGAAAAAATCAGGAATTTCTACAAGGCCTTGAAACCCGAGAAATTTTGAGTTGCATCACTGGTTATGGCCAACTACCTCCTCAACAGTAAGGCAGGAGGAGGCAAGATTTGACATGCATATGTGTATGGTTCCTATATAGTTCAAAAAAATTAAATTATGTGAAGCGCTGACGTGCAGCGATTTCACGATGCAGAAAAAGAGGGAAGTGTTAATGAGAGTGACAAGGAGTGACACTGCTCTCCGCCTGCCAACCCGGGCTGGGCATCAAATTTGGCACTAGTCACAAACCTGTCACGGTTGCACTTCCTGCTATTTCGACCCACCCCTCCTGTATTGTTCCAGACTTGACCAAAAAATACAATAATCAGAAATATCAAAGATCAATATAGAAATATACGCTGTCTAAAATTACAGGTGGAACAATCAAGAACTGAACGAAGTGCTACTGGTTGACATTTTCGTTTACACTTCTAGGCAATCAATAGTACTAGCTGCAACGAATCTTGGATGCCCTGTGTACAGTTTAGGGAAGGACATGGATGGCGCTCTACCACTGCATCTACCCCAGGTACATTCAGTTATGAACCAGGCTGTGTACAGCTCAGCAAACGAATCTGTGCACTTTCGGAGCTAATTTGACCTCGCCTGCCGGTCGTTCCGCCACCTTCCACTACTCCAATCTGTGTACTTGCATTTCCAGCCCTGTGTACAGCTCAGGGAGCCGATCTGTGTACTTTTGAGAAAGATCTGGCTAATTTGACTTTGCTTGCCCATGGTGTAAAATGGTGCCTGTACCCATCATGCCATGTTGGTAGCTCGACACCACTGCATTTATGTTTAGCCTTCTAGCACATTACATTGCCAGCACTACATACAGCTCAGAAAACGGATCTGTGTGCTTGCAAGGAAGGCCAGACTAATTTGGCTTGCTCACTGGTCGTTCTACCACTGGATCTGTGTACTTTCTAGGCACATCGCCCTGTGTACACCTCAGAAAATGGATCTGTGCACTTTCGAGGGAAGCCTGGCTAAATTGGCTTTGTTTGCCAGTCATTCTATCGCTGCATCTGTACTTTCTAGGCACACTGTCCTGTGTACAACTCAGAAAACGGATCTGTGCACTTTCGAGAGAAGCCCGTCGAATTTGGTTCTGCTTGCCGGCTGTGTATAATGATGCCCATCCCCATTGTGTCGTGTTGCTGGCTCGATCACCTTCGGTTCTAGTTTGTTTGATTTCGCCGGTGTCGATACTTGTTCTGCAATATGACACAAATCATCTTCATCACGGCAACACCGTGGAGAATAGGCTGTCGTTGACTGTTCAAACTGTTACATTGTTGAAGGGTTTGGGGAAATAGGTTTGTATTGAACAACATCAACCTGATGATTGAACAACAGTTTGTAGGGACATGGGGGAAAACATAATTCATGCTAACACTGTTGAGACATTCGATCACGATATATGCGGTCCCGATGGCTGTTTGTTCAATCTGCCATAGGTTTGATCACGAATGGATCTTCTTACAATAATCTCGATAGAGCAGATCTCGCATTTTCGATGGCTCTATCCTAAACTAGGCAAGCATTGGGAGCCCTCGACTGCCTCATCGAGCATGGCATTGAAGGGCATTGAACTGGGCGTCGAGGGCAATGAGGAGCATGACTCGATCACAAACAGTCACAGGATGGTCACAGTCTACAGGATAATGCTGCTGGGCAGGTATGGTCCTGTGCACAGGACCGTTTGCTGAAGAGTACACATGAACTGATCCCCTGTAGTTACAGGCAATTGTGTACAACTGGTTCCCCTGTAACTACAGGGAATTATGTACAGGACGGACGGCATAGGTTGAAGACTCGCTCTCAAGCTGGCTCTTATGCCATCATTATTGAGATTAGAGGAGAACACTGCATATATGCCTGTTGCAGAATGCAAGGTCAGAAAGCATCCGTGCGACTCCCGATGACATCGACTCTGCAAGCGGTCGACAAGAGTCCTAATACTGTAATAATACATCTCCTGTTCCATTTCACTGTGCGACAGCTTGTTAATATCTGATTATAGCATATATTCATGTAGATACCCTACCGAATGCGAACACGTACTCATCTTATTGAGATATCAGGCGATACCTCTACTCTGAGCATCCTGTCTCCGGCATCAGTCCAAGGCTATAGACGTCTGTCAAAGTCATAGCATGAAAGCTTTCACTCAAGAATGAACAGACCTGGCCGCACACAATCATGAACAAACCTTGCAAACATTTGCACAAATCTAAGCCTATACCTCAAATTGGGGAGATCTCCCACAGCTTTGCTGATTGACATTGATTCCTGTCTGTGAGAGGCTGATATTGCCTGCAACAAATTACAGTTATGCCATTGTCGCCTCCCGCACGAAAGAACCGAATAGGCCGTGTCTCGCTGCTAATATACAGGTCTCAAGTCTACACCCATTATTACACACAACCTCACTGTTGCTCATTGTAAGTGATATTTTTCTATTTCCCTCGTCTGTGCACTCATTGATGCCAGGTTAGTCATGTGGTTAAAATGCCATCTTCCATATAAGGCAGATTCAGTCTAGATGACTCACCCTACCCCACCCGCGTAGTATAACGACATCCTCTCTGGTTAACTTTATCTCGGGTGAGGAGAATTCTGCATTAGACCCTTGCGTGCATGCGTTCAACTGCATTTGAATGCATTTAACTTGGATGCATTTGCGTTCCTTCGATGCGTTCAAGTGCGTGACCTGCTGACAGTTGGTCTACCTTCAAGAATAATACTGTCATGTGTATTTATATGGTGCACTTATCTACTTTCGATGTATTTTCTGGATATGTTATCGGCAGCTTTCTATGACTTAGAAACTGTGTGAAACTGTCTTGGAAAGCCATAAATGGGTCTATTTTAGTTGTTATATGTCTTAGAACATAATACACTTACCTCAATATCATTTTGCGTTGAAATAGTTGTGAACCCCGGCTTTTTTTGGACTTTTGGTAAACCGGAAAACTTGCATGCACCTCTCGAATCGACGCAACTCGCTTATGCAACTCAAAAATAAGTCACGCATGCGTTAATAAATCCAACATGAGCGTCGTTGTAATAAACGTATGCGTTGCACAAAGTAATGCATGCGTTCAAGACAAAACACAAACGAGAACGCAAATGTGACAATGGTTGTGATGGCATGTCATGTTTGCATTAGACTGCATTGAACTCGAGTTGAACTGTGGTGGTTTCTGCTGTTGCACTTCATATGTGCTTGGCTATACTCTCCAAGCTTATTAGAGATTCTACAGAGGATTCCTGCTATATACG